GTAATACCAAAAAACACACAAAAAGTTAGGAACGACTCAATTTAGTCTTGCCTCTGTCTCTAGTTTTAGGAAGGAAACCAGCTAACAAATTGGTGAGCTTCGTGCCATTATCTGAAGTAACCAATGTGTCATCCATTAGATTCCTGAGCTCAAGTAGGTCACTATTCTTCTTCTTCCTCATGGATGTGTAAACCTGTCATTCCTCGTTCGAAGACTGACTCACCTGATCAGTATGTTGGTCAACAGATTGACGGACATGTGTAAGTTGATGAATCCCTTGCGACTGACTAACAATAACGACTTGCTCGCTTAGATGTGGTGGTTGAACTGCAGTAGAAGGATTGTCAACCGTTGTAATCATATGAGGTTTGAGTGTATGTAAAGTATGATTTGTCGCCTCTGCACCAGATACTTCCTGAAGATGAGGAGCTGCAAGGCTCTCTTGATTATCAGTCCGAACATTTTCCTTTAAAGGTAAGGATCCTTCAGTATCATTTTAAATAATGTTTGAAGATGTAGGTTGCCCAGCAGAGTCATCCGACAACACATCAATCGCAGAAACAAAAACAATATTGTTAGGAGGGTCCCCAGGGGCAATTAAACCAGTCACTAATTCCTATCTTGCGGTAATTTTCTCCACATGTGGCGCCTATGTGTCCAAAACAATAGGGTTAGACCCATTCTTATTCACTTAAGCTGTAGATTTCAAGTTAAGATGAAGCCCGTGACATTTGTCAAGGGTATGCTCAAACATCTTATGGTGGGTACAATAGAAATATCTATGCTCCATGGCAATTTATTGCCAATATTCATTATGTGTTGTGCCCAACCAGACTTCTATAATATCTGGTAAAGTGATATTTCGTTCCACAAGTATTCTAGAAACAGAAGACCTGATTAGATTGAAGGTGGGTAGATCAAGCTTCATAGGATCCCCAAATATAACCCCAATAGAGTAAAAAAACTGATGATTAAAAAAAATGCAGCTTGAGACTAGATAAACTAAACCATGCCGGTACATTGAGAGATTCATAATTTGGGCCATATATATATTATTGGGGTAAACACTAGATCATAAATAATTGAAACTACAACCAGGACGTTTGAATGCATGGTTTGAACATTTGAATACTCTCTAATATCCTGATTAGTGGGATAAATGACATGAACTTCATAAGTTTGGGCAGGCTTTGAAGCAGAAAATAATGATATTGTTATCAATCATTTGACTAGAAGAATAATATGGAGGATTAGGTTCAAATTCTACTTTCTACCAATAATCATAAGCAGAGGAATAAATCGTAATCTCCTTATCAAAAAGGGTAGTAATATCCTACTAGGACCTCAGCCGTTGACATCATGCGAGCTTAGCTAATACAACCTGAAGTTATTTTAATCATGTGAGCTTATGTTTTAATCACTTAATTTAAAACAACAGCCATTGACATCATGCGAGCTTATCTTTTGATCACTTAATTAAACTTGAAATGTTAATTTAAAACAACAGTAAGCTTAAACAAAACTAGTGAATATACATACTCCTAAAATACAGTAATAAAAAGAAATAAAAAAGTAATATACATGTCGGTTTAGTTTTTAATAAATTCGTATAAACATTTGATATAATTCAATGAATCTTACTATATCAATAATATATTTATATCATTTTATATATGTACCACCGTCTAAAAAACTATACCAATTAAGATACTTTAATATCAATATCTTTTTTCATTTACATGCACGACTATCTTAGTGTTCTCTCGTTAGTATCATAAAGGGATGACTCCATCATAGTCAGTCATGCACATACAAACAATCCATATAATTATATAGTTTATGTGCTCATCATGATCCTTCCTCAAGCTACGAGTAGCTCAAGCTCGATTCTTCCTCTCTTCTTCGTATAGATGCAAACGCCCTCTTCACGCGATCACTTGCACCGAATGCTTAGGGTTTGGCTGTCTTTCCTCTGTGCTTGGCTCGTATTGCTTTGCTTGAAACTTGACGACGTTACGAGAGCGTCTTGACGTCCTCTCTACCTTCGCACGACACGAGAGCTCTGGTGCAAGTCGTGTCTCAACCTAGCAGCATAACCGACGTTCGACTCTTAGGTGGGTTGTGGTTTTATAGTTGAATTCATCTCTTTGAATTTTTACTCGCTGGCTTCCTCTCCTCTTTCTTCGGTTTCCTATTTCCTCACTTTCTCTTCTCTCCTACTCAGCTCTTCGTTTCATCTCCCTCTCTTTGGGTCTTCGATTCCTCTGCCTTGTGTAAAAAAAAAAAAGTTGGACGATACATAAGGAGCATATGTAGAAGGAGAATTAACTTTTGTTTTCCTAAAGAGAGTGATCACATGGATGTATCATGATGCAAGCTTTTCCAAGAAATGGGTCATGGATGTTGAATAATATCCAACAAATACAATGATTCTGACCTAGTGGAAGAGAAAGTCCACAGAGTTGAATATGAGAGAGCTGACAAAAGAATGGGTGATATTGGGGAAAAATGCAATCAAAGCAGTAGAGTTGCTGCCGATGATGATAAGGCCGAAGTGTCGGTATAGTAGGCCATGAGCACATCATGAATGGATGTTAGCATTAGGGAAAAAAATATTTAGCTCGAGAGAAAGCCTAACATGGATAAATGTGAAGATTGAATTTATAGATTATGAGAGCATTGCAGATGCTAGCATTGTGGCACACATAGGAGTCCATTCTATGAGGGTTTTGAGCGCTTTAGCAACATCTATGGGATTTTGTGGTGTAAATCATATATTATCTTAAATTGTGATTTTCTTGGCTACTTTTGAACTAAAGTACTATTGCAGGAAAATTTTGAAGCGGCCTAATATTTCTAGTTATTTTAGTAGATGTTTCACCAATTAGATTGATTTTGTTTGCAAAATGCTTATACGAAATTATCTTAGAATATTTTTTGGAAGCATTTTCATTACTAATACAAAAGATATAGACTCAGTGTTAATCCTTGATGTTAACATGCTCTACTCAAAAACTTGTGAGTCATTTCAAAACTATTTTGATTACTAATTAATACTGCATCATATTTTTTAAATTTAACATACTTTTAATTGCTCAATTCTTTTTTAATGTGCATCAAACTGATTATTGTAATAATCAATCATTATGTTGACTCTAGATAAATAAGAATAAAATGAAAATCCATTTATCTGATACACTTGCCTTTTAATTATCTATTACAAAATTTGCTTCTCTAGTGGATCTTCATGGTATAAAACCAAATTGATTGTCCAAAAGTGAGAAATAATTTTGTGAACCTTTATGACTTGTTTTGATTGATTCATGTATATGACTCGTGAGTTTGATTTCTCTAGAGCTACATCGATTTTGAACATTTCTTTTGTTTTCAAATGTTACTATTATTATAATTTTTTTTTAAATAATGTTTTATCTTTTTAGTATTCAAACTTCAATTGAAGATTTGATAATCAAATTATTGCAATACTCTTCGTAACTATCTAAATCTTCATATTTATCTTATCTGGACGTAAAGAGATCAATCTATTATATATTTTATCATACTACTTGTCATCCTCATCCAAAATAATTTCTTCCTCAAAGCTCTCATATACTAATTCTTACAATAACATTTTTATATTTATTTAATGCTTTATCTTTATTTTCAATGCATATAACTTTATCAAAATTTTTAGAACTCTTATTTCTTGCCTTAGCTATTATATTATACTATATATCTTTTTTTCTCTTTTGTTATCAGTAAACTTATTGCGAAACATTAAAATCTGTATGTTTTGCTTTACTCATTTTTCTTTTTGTTATATTTTACTTTTTTCATAATCATGAGAAATTTTAATAATATTCAAAATTTGCTATCCTTTAAAGTGCATTTCTTTGACATAATAATTCTTTGCCCCTCGCTCCAACAACCCAGTCTTCTTATTAGCGTGTGATCTATTTTTAGACTTTATATATAGATGTATGCATGTATGGAGGTATGTATGTATGGATGGATGATGTATGTATGCATGTATATATGTATTTGTGTTTGTGTCTGTGTGGATGTCTGTCTGTATTATGTATATGTCTATGTTTGTATGTATTTGTGTCTGTATGTGTTTGGATGTGCGCATGTATATGTGTCTATATGCGTGTATGTATGTTTGTATGTATGTATCTGTATGTATGTCTTTATGTGTGTTTGTATGTATATGTAAGTATGTTTGTATGCATGTATGATGAATTTTCTTTTATTCGAAGAAGAGAGATTTTTTTTTAATTTAATTTGGTAACTTTTTTTTTGTGAGTTATCTAGTGTTCTCCTAGTTTCTTAATGTGCTCTTGGGAAGTCAAGTGTAGTTTCTCTAATTACATAACCATAATGAATACGCTCATAGTCTATCCTATTAGAACATATATGCCCATTTAAATCACCTTCATTAATTTTTTTTTTCAACGGTATATATTGCAAGAGTTCATATCTCTCTTCCCTATTGTACTTGCCATCCACTACCATCCCTGGCCCCACAATCACCTCATGTTGCATTCAATAAGAATGCACAAAGAAAGTTGATTCATAAAGCTAAAAACTCTTTGCTAAGATTAGGCTAACAACATGATTATGATTCTAAATATGATGCTCTTGGTGTTTGATATTATCTATGGTACAAGTGAGCATCAGAAATCTGTTTGTAAAGTGAGTCATTGGATTAAAATTTGATGTAAACTTGTGAACCTTGTTTGGAAACTCATTTAATATCGGTACACAGCTTTATTGTTTTTTGTGATTCATCGAATCTTAAATTAGACAAATACATGGCTTTTCAATATCTATTGATCATTTTCTGGATGTTTTCAATTTTGTTTTCTTATGTTATTATTACCTAACGCCAAAATTGTTGGTTCTTAACCTATATTTTTTCATAGAGATCACACAGCAATAATTGATGTTTGTGTTAGGTTGTTTGTGCATATCTTGACTTAAATTTCATTTTGGTGTAGGTTAAAGTCATTGGAGTGGAGCCTTTCGATGCAAATGCAATGGCATTATCTCTGTATCATGGCCAAAGAGTAATGCTTGAACAAGTGGGAGGCTTTGCTGATGGTGTGGCTGTCAAAGTAGTTGGAGAAGAAACTTTTCGCTTATGTAGAGGCCTTGTTGATGGGGTGGTTCTTGTCAGTCGTGATGCAATTTGTGCATCTATAAAGGTGAATCACTATTTTCCATGTCTTAGCACTATATTCATCTATATGAATCATTCTTATCATGTACACCCTTGTTTTCTTTCTTAAACCAATATCATCGACATCATGTCATTAGGCTAATTATTTATGATTAGCCTAATGAATTTTCATTCTTTATTTGTTCCTTGTTAATCTTATTTTATGTAATTCTTTTTTAATTCTGTTCATATAACTTCAATCTTTACCTTTTTCTTGAACTTTTACATAATTACCACCCAATTTCTATATTTTTACATATCAGACACTTCAACTTATTTTCTACATTTATACCACCCAAATATTTCATTTCACATTGGAAAAAGCCACTATTTTAACTTTTAAATTTAGCTATTAAAAAATGAAATACATCTTTTCATGCATAGTTGAAGTAGTATATATATGTAAAAATTGAAGTTTAAGGGTTAGATATGTAAAATATGTAAAAATTTGAAGTTTAAGGGTTAGATATGTAAATACATAAGAATTGAGTGATATGTATGTAAATCTACTTAATTATTTTTATATACCTATTTTATTGGTGTATCTTCTTTGTTCATATTTAAATTACTCAATCTATATTCTATTACCTTATCTTATAAATAAATACTACTAGTAGTTCTCTAATAATGCTTCCTTGTTTTACTCTCTTTAGTATGATTAGAATTATTTTCCAGTATTTTCTCTGCCCTTGTTTTATGACACCAACATCATACGTTTTTCCATAGTCTACTTGAGCTTTTTGACTTATTGACCATCCAAAACTCATAAAAATAAAACTTATACCACCTAACTATTGTTTTCTGAAAATTTTCCTTAAGTATCTATGATATTCAAATATTTATTTTGCCACTTAATTTTAATTTAAGAGGCTATATCTTCATTTTTACCTTCATTCCTTCTTATAATAGATTCAAATTATTTAATCCTACCATGCATAGGTGTCTATCTTTAGTTCTATGACTAATCAAGATTAGCGTCAAACAAGCAAATAAAAGTTCATATCATATACTTGTTATGTATAAACCTCTTTGTCTCATTTTGGCATTGATGCTTGCTGATATAAGTGCCCGTGTCTACTCGTCTTGTATTATCTTCAATATCTATTTATAAGCTTTAATCCACTTCAAATGTGCTTGTAAAGATAACAATTTAAAACATTGACGTTCTTTCTGATCCCTGATGTGGTTGGGGGATATTTGGGACTCATCCTTTAATTTTCTTTTAGTTCTCGTAAAGCGCCAATGAAGTTTTTTTTTTTTTTTTCAGGAAGAGATTTTTTTATTGGCTACAATTTGTACCACATCAGTGATCAGAAAGTTCCAAGTACTCCACGTTTTGACTATATGGATGCTAATATTTATTGGTATAAATATGACCAATACATATTAAATATGCTCTCAACTATCTTATTCTATAAATTATAATAAAATCCAGGAGCAGTCAGTATCCACATAAATTGATGAGCATGCTTAAAATACATAAAGACTATTTTTTATCATTTCATCTTCAATGGGCATTAATTTCACCACCCTTCTAGTGCAATAGTTTTTTTTTTTTTTTTTTTTTTTTTTGTGGTTAGATATCCATCTTAGTGCTCGTTGATTTCTCACTTGTTTTAGCTATACGTGGCTTCTTTGTTGCAACGCTTGGATCCAATAGATTGTAGGTCTAATAATACTTTTATAAAATTTACTTTGTTAAAATTTCTGTGATAAAATCTTCTTACGTTGTATTCCCTATCTTGTTGGGTGATGCTGAGCGTTTAGCCTTCCTGAATTCAGTTCCCTGAAGTGATAATTTCTTTATCGTATAATTTTGTCTAGCCTTATTAGAACCCACCGAAATTAGTGATGCTGTTTAGTTGTTGAAGACTAATACAGATAGCATCTTCTCTTTATCCTTGGTAAGCAGGCAATATCCAATGAGTTTGTGAAAAATACATGGTTTACCATATTGAAGTTGATACATATCGATCATTGGTCCTGATGATATGATACTTTATTTTTTTTATGACCTGGTACTAATGGTGATTATTATGATTTTCTATTTTTAGTTTTGTTTAGCTTAAGCACTTTATATCATTATTTTGTATTAAATAGGAAAGGATAAATATAATTAAGTTGAATTGATAAATGATAACGATTATGCAGTCTTTATTCTCCCTTTTGAGCTCTCCCTAATCGATGTTGAAGCCAAGCTCTTCTCCTTCTTTCACTCCTCTTCTCATCCCTGGCTGCTGGGACGCTTCTCCTCTTCATCATTTGCATGCTCTTTTCTCCATCATCAATTTCTTACCAAGGAAATGTTTCCGCATGATTCCTGGTTCATCTCCTTGAACCATGATCTTTACTGGTTTTTGCTTCTAGTCTGTTTTATGTTGTCTTTGTGATGCTTGTGCTTGGTGAGTATATTAAATAGTTTTCTGCTTACTTACAGCCTACTGTCCATCCCCGTTTCACTGATGGTTTTTGTTTGCAGTTGCTGCTGTCCATACTTCCAATTGCAATTACTCCTTCATTTTACAAACCAGGGCTCTCTTTTTGTTATCTTTGATAAACACACACACACACACACCAAGTAGGGGTGTCAATTTGGGTCAGTGGGTCAGGTTCGGTTCTCCATCATCAATTTCTTAGCAAGGAAATGTTTCCGCATGATTACTGGTTCATCTCCTTGAACCATGATCTTTACTGGTTTTTGCTTCTAATCTGTTTTATGTTTTGTCTTTGTGATGCTTGTGTTTGGTGAGCTTACTAAATAGTTTTCTGCTTACTTGCAGCCTACTGTCCATCACTGTTTCACTGATGGTTTTTGTTTGCAGTTGCTGCTGTCCATACTTCCAATTGCAATTACTCCTTGATTTTACAAACCGGGGCTCTCTTTTTGCCTATCTTTGATAACACACACACACACACACACACACACCAAGTAGGGGTGTCAATTTGGGTCAGTGGGTCAGGTTCGGTTCTCCATCATCAATTTCTTAGCAAGGAAATGTTTCCGCATGATTACTGGTTCATCTCCTTGAACCATGATCTTTACTGGTTTTTGCTTCTAATCTGTTTTATGTTTTGTCTTTGTGATGCTTGTGCTTGGTGAGCTTACTAAATAGTTTTCTGCTTACTTGCAGCCTACTGTCCATCACTGTTTCACTGATGGTTTTTGTTTGTAGTTGCTGCTGTCCATACTTCCAATTGCAATTACTCCTTGATTTTACAAACCGGGGCTCTCTTTTTGCCTATCTTTGATAACACACACACACACACACACACACACCAAGTAGGGGTGTCAATTTGGGTTAGTGGGCCGGGTTCGGTTCTGATCCGAAAATGACCCTACTCAAATCGGGTTAACCCGAACCCAACCTGAATAATAAACGGGTAGAATTCTCTGATCTGAATCCAACTCAAAAAATAGTCAGGTTAACCCTAACCCAAAATTTTTTGGTCCAAGTTCGAGTCGTGTTGGCGTGTCGGGTCAATTTTTGACAACCCTAACACTAAGTTGATATATTTATAGGAAGTTGCATATGTTAAACCTTTGAATGGTTTGCTTTTCATTCTTAAAATTTTACATGTTGCTAAAGTTTCTAGATTCCTATCTGTACAAATTTCTTCATTTTCTGGCTACAATATTTTGATTTTATATATACAACCTGAGAAATTTAACAACTTCATCGATTTATAACAAACTCTTATTTATTACTTCAATTATATTTAAAAATTGATGAAATAGTATTTTTTCTTCAAAATTATCTATCCTCATAAAATCTTCCATGCTTGTTTTCTTCAATTAAATCAATTCATTGGAAAGTACATGATAAGTTGGATCCTTAACTCCAATCATATCTTTTTTTATTATTTTCCTTCTTATCCATTTCCTTTTCTTCCTCTTCGTACTACTTATTCCTATTTTTCCCCTTCTTTGGCTGCCTAACAAAAACCTAGCAGCTCTCTCTTTTAATTGGATGGGAGGGTTATGGGAAGGATGAAATAGGGAATAGTACTCCGATTATATAAGTATAAATGAACGTAAATTAAAAATTGATCACACCCCTTAATAATCACATCCACCCGAAGCAGCCATTGCATGCTACGATCAGTGGATGTACTACTACAGTACTGCTATAGTGATTAGCCATAGGGACGCCTCAATAACATTGCCACAGTAACTAAATAAATACTTTAGGGAGATTATTTAAATAAATCTAGTTAAATAAAATTTATAAACTTAAATTAGAATATTGTTATTGAATTGGTGAAAATATCTTTATTACATCATTATTATGTCATTTAAATCATTTTGAAATAATTTTAATATTTAATACATCATTTAGTTCAATCTACAGTTCAATTCGGGTTGATCCAATGAACATTCAAACTCTCCTTTTGGTTAAATATCCAGTCCAGATTTTAAAACCTTGCATCTAGGCTTTTTTAAATCCTATTTTTTATTTTATCCATCACATTCAAGTCCATGCTTCTGGAAAAGCTGTTCATATCTTTTTTTCTTGACTGAGTTCTGATGTTGACTACTGAATATTGTGCTGTGCTGGCCTCATTATTGCCATATGGGAAAATATTTGAGTACTTAGTCTTCCACACGAGCTATTACCACCTCTACCTTCATGACTGCAACCTTAATTTTTTAGGAGAATGGTTTTTGCAACTTAAATGATGCGGATTGATCATTTACCTAATCTTATGATGTTTTATTTACATTATTTGATGTGATATATTCATGATGATCATGGTGCACTAATTTATTCGTTATGCTTAGTTCTCTTCGGCTTAAACTCCTTAAATCGCTAAATTGCATTTAATGGTCCTTCTTTTGTCAATATAGCAGAGGAATGGTGTCCTAAGGTTGAACTGATGAATGCTGATGGTTATGTGGCTCTTATTCTTCGTTTTGAGCTCTCCCTCTCTGTTCTCCTCACCTAATGGCTGCCAAAGCAAAAAAAAATTTCTTCTCCTCTCTTTTCCCCTCTCATCTAATATTGGCTAGCTAGCTCTGAGCTTTCTTCTGTATCCATATATATGGGAGAGGGAATCATTAATAATTAATAAGAGGCTGCATATTCATTGTCATTCATTGATTCAACTTTGTTACACCCTTCCTCTCTTATTTATAGAAAAAATATTTTCTACAAGCTAATAATATGAGGAACATAAGCTAAACAAAACTAGACATACAAAATTGAGTGGAGTTTCATGATCATGATGAGCACATCATATCATGTAGGTAAATTAGGTATCATATCACTAGATCTACGATCTGCCTGCATAAAAAGTGCAGCAAACTCCAGCTTTTCCGAAATTATGCTCATGTAGCACCCCAATTTATGCCATGGAAAACTGAAACTTTTGATATTAGGCCTGGCATGTGAAATGACAATTTTATTTCTGTTACTAGCATTGGTTCTCGATAGTAATGTTCGAACATCTGATAACAGCATTTGAGTTCCAAATCAATTTTTTCTGGTTTAAAAGTAATGTGTTTGAATTAATATATAATAAAGCATTTTGGCTGGAAAATAAATATTGACGTTGTTAAATCTCATTATTTTTAAGGAATAAAAAATTTTAAGTCTCGAAAATTTTGTTCATGTACATTTGCTCCTATATACACATAAGTGCTTTTAGTTGATTTGGATGCTACCTCTAGAGAAATTTGATAGCTGGTATTAATAGGGCGAACAGTTAATGTAACTTTTTATATTATACATCATATTGGTTGTTGTTTTAGATTTGATTTTTAAAGTGTTTTATGTCCTTCATGCTTCTTGATGCTAGTGCATGTATTCTATCTGGGCAAGAGGACAATTCTGTATACAGGAATACTATTACTTTATTTTAAGTGCTTATAATTATGTTATGCTAAAACTTATAATAAGTTCAGCGTTGCAATATTTAATCTTAGAATTTTTTGTTACTGATATTGTAAAACCTCAATGTGATAATCTTGGAAGAATCTTTAGTTCATGATCCGTGGGTTGATAATTTGGTTTCTTTATTTCTTTTTTTAACAAAATGATTTCTAAGGATTCAATACTGAAACATTTAATACTTTTTGTCGAAGTAATTTTAATATATCTTGAATATTTCAGTGTAGTTTTCTTGAAGGACTGAAAGCCTACTACATGATCTTTCTGAGTTGATGTTATTTTCTCATGCATCGCTTAGCGGGTAATGTTCACGTTGGCACTTTTTAATCAGGATATGTTTGAAGAGAAGAGAAGCATTCTAGAGCCAGCCGGTGCTCTTTCTTTAGCCGGCGCAGAAGCATACTGCCGATATTATGGCTTAAAGGGTGAATCAATTGTTGCTATAACAAGTGGGGCAAACATGAATTTTGATCGACTTAGATTAGTAACTGAACTTGCTGATGTTGGACGGAAACGAGAAGCTGTTCTTGCAACTTTTCTTCGTGAGGAGGTTGGAAGTTTTAAACAATTTTGTGAACTGGTGAGTTGCAGGATGTTTGTTTCTACTACTCCCTTGAGTGATTGTATAAATTTGGTAGTGAAGAATTGAAAATTTGGCAGGTTGGTCAGATAAATATTACAGAGTTCAAGTACCGATACAACTCTAATAAAGAGGAAGCTCTTGTCCTGTACAGGTGTGCTCCTTGTTTTTGTAGTTTCTAACATATTTTTTATGTAGATCTTGGGTAAGGGAAACAATTAATCATGCTTTCTTATTTATTTATTTCTTTTTTCTTATTCTTCTGTTAATCTTATCTTTGCTGAGTTGGTTTCTTTTTTTTTGCATCATGATGCAGTGTTGGGGTTCACACTGACTCTGAACTTGTAGGCATGATGACGCGAATGGAAGCTGCAAGGCTTAAAACCATAAATCTGACCAAAAATGACTTGGCAAAGGACCACCTACGACATCTCGTATGGTTCCCATCTCTGATTCTTAGCTGTGTCTAATTGCAATGAAAGGGTAAATCTATCTTAAATTTAAAATTCTTCTATTTGGTTCATGTTTGGAAGATTAAATGGCTTGCTACCAGTGACACAGGTAGCATGATGCCCGGATGAAGTTGGACCTAAATATGATTTATTAACATGGCATTAGGGTTTTTGATACATCAGGAAATGAACATGGAGATATCAAAAAAGTCATTAAGTATAATGAAAATGTCCCGGTATGAAAATTTATATGCCCAAATATGCATGATATTGTGGGCTCAGAAAATTCATGACCACTCGTGACAATTCTCTGGATTGTTCTGAGAGGGCTTAAGAGGGTCAAATTTTTAAAAGGCGGATTTAGATAAGACAACTCAGAGATTTCACCCTCATTTTGTGAGGGCTTTTTTTATCTGAGGTTCGAGGTTTTCCATAGGCGCAAGCCTCTATGGTTAATTACCCCTCCCGATAATGGGTGAGCACTTTCGGTTAAGGCTAATCATTAAGAATTGAGTATTTAACACTCAATAGCAGCAGACTTAGGATTTTACTTGAAGAATTTATCACTTGAAGCTTAAAACGGGCAGTGGGGGAATGAAGATGAAACCCAATCAAGATTACATAGTTCCGCCATCCCGAACCGTCATGGTTTCTGATCTGGTTAGTTAGGGGTGGTAATCGAACCAATCTGATAGAAGAATTCTTGTTAGCAACCATGGGTCGCGTCTGCTGTGGATGTTTGTCTAAGGGGGCAAATTTAAGTCGATATTAGCTAACATAAGGCTTTATGCCAATTAGTTATACCCTTATGATTCACAACTCAAAGGGTAAAAAAACTGTTGGGAAACATATGAGTTGCGGTCGTGACTGTAATATAATGATGTTATTTGGTGGCAATCATCCGACCAAAGGGCTATGGTCGTAACCTCTATTTGTGGTGTTATTTGGCGGTTGAATCACGCGAATAGAAGACTCAGGCCACGTCTTTACCAACATGCAATTATTTTGATTGTGAATATAGGGATACACTTAATATGATATTAGCTCCTTGTGAGCTCAAGTCAATAAGAAATTTGTCACCCTCGACAAACTGTTGTGGAGGGCGGATGGATTTTACTTTTAGCTTTTATTGATTTAATTTTACCTTAAGTTTTAATTGATTATTTTAAAAAGCTTAATTTAAAAGATTGACCTCTCCGATTAAATTTTAGATCAACGCGGCAATCGTCGGAGAATTGTTTATCTTAAATCCTATCGACTCTATCCTTCTTACAGAGGATCAAGTTCGATAATTTGAATAATTAAATTCAAAATAGACTTTAAAAAATAATTTTAAAATAAAACCCTCTAGTTGAAATCTTGTATCAACACGACCATCATCGGAGATTTAAACATTTAAATCTTTTACATTTGAAGTGGGGGCATTTAGTTTTGTCAATTTAAGTTTTTGAAAGTATATGTTCTGTCGACTCCTATCCTTATTGTTAGGAGGACCTAATTATGTAATTTGGACTTGGAAATTCTTATTTTAGATTTTAAACAATGATTTCAAAATTACTAAACTCATGAACTCCAGTCCTTGCAAGGAGAAGGATCAAACAAGTGAAATGAGACTTATAACCCTGTCCTATAGAGGAGGCGGCCCGATTAGCCCACACAGCATTCTCGAACCCATTATTTGATCATTCAATATATTGGTTGGAGCACTTGCAGGCGTTTAGTTTCATATTTTTTAGTAACTTAAAGAATTTGGAGACTTTCAAAGCTTATGTAATCTTTAAATTAAAATTATGATTTACAGTCTAGATGACGAGATTTTGAAATCATGTACATGACTCTATATGAATATCTTAAGGCATGCACAATTCAAGAGAGTACAAATTAAGTCTCAAAATATTTTAATATATTCTAAATCATTGCATTGGATTTAAGAATAACATGAAGCTTATAAATTTTGAAACCATTTGAAGGTTCATGTATTTGGAAAAGTATTATGATTTTAGGTATTAAAAAGGGACCGCCTTCTGTTTGCTAGCAAGAGTGTTGTGAATCCAGTGCCCGTCATGATTAATTTTGGAAAACTCCACATTCGAATTATTTTTCACTCTTAAGAAGCCTAAATTCGAAAAATTCAATTTTGAATTAATTTTCTAGCTATAGGAGCCCAAGTCTGAATAGTTCAATTTCAGAAATATTTTTCAAATCTTCTGAACTTAAATTTTATAGTTTAACTTTTAATATTTTTAATATTTTTAAACCCTGAAAGTTTCTGTTTTAAAAATCAATAACTTAAAAAAAAAAATTAAAAAACAAACAAGCCTAAATATTTAAAAGCCCAGGACCTCGACATTTTAAGACCCTAAGAGCCTAAATTTTAAAAGCTCGACTCCAAATCATTTTAAAATTTGAATTAAGTTTAATTTTAAGTTATTTTATAAGCTTGAACATTTTAAAATTATAAACTAATCATAAGTCCAAATCACCCGAAAATCTGGTAGTATCCCGACGTCAACAGTGAACCCATGTTTGGGGCCAGCGAGAGAACCAACCTTTCCAGCTATCTTAAAAGACGAGTTGGTCAGTGTTGTGTGACACTGCTGTCGAGAAGCAAAAGTGCAAACATAACCCGTAATCTTAAAAAATACAACTAGTCTTCAATGTACCTGCACAAAAGGGTTAGATAGCAAACCAACATTTCCTAAGTGGTACTTTGTTCTTTTCGAACGACACTCAATTCCCCACAGACGAGTACTCATTTTCTCATGAGCGGGTGCTTTAAAATCCTCAATTTTAAAAAGTTTTTCAAACGAGTATGCGTTTTTCTCCGAACGGTGCTTAATTTCCCCACAAACGATTACTCGCACCTTGAGTGGATATTTAAAAAAAAATTGCCTCCCATTTGCTCCAAAGTTATAACTTTCTAGCTCAAATGACGACAGCATGAAAATACAACACATATTTTCATATGTAATACACAACAACAATAAAAATAAAAAGAAAAAAATTTAACTGGCTGGGGCAAGTGGAGAAGCAGCAGCGGCAGATATCAACAACTTCGGGTTTTGATTCAAACAAGAATCTCTTAAATTTGGGTTAGGGCAGGAATCATCAAATCGCACATGGAAGAAGCAGAAAGGGGGATCATCAGAGCGTTGCAGCTAAGGTAGAAAGCCTCGATCGTGGGTTGGGGAGGCATGACATAGAGGGATCGGTGCTTCTGCTACAGGAATGCGAGGGCCATGGAGGACCTCGGCGCAGGGAGGAATAGAAGGCTCAGGATCAGGGAAGTGTGGATGGGGGCTTCAACTGGAAGGATCACAAGTGATTCTTGTGTGCAGGGGTTGAGTCGCAAATAATGTAAAGTTGCACGTTTGTACGCAGGATGCACGAAACAATGTATGAATCTGATTGCACAATGCATATGTACATATTATTCATTTTCCATGGGCTAAGGTTCAGTTAACATTTCTAAATAATAATTCCAAAACTTAATCATGTTGAACAGATTAAAAAATATTCTACACAAATTCGATTTTAACATTGGGCCCACCCAATTTTCCTTTTTCTTACATATATTAGAAGTTCAACTCCAATTTTCTTAATATGCATGCAGATGGGTGGTCGATCAACTATAAAAAATGAGCTTCTCTGCCGTTTTATCTTCCCTGAAAGGCCAGGTGCTCTCATGAAGTTTTTGAATTCCTTCAGTCCACGCTGGAACATAAGCCTATTTCATTACAGATCCCAGGTATGGAAACTTTTCTTCAACTAATTTCACTTTTATTTTGATTTACCTTTTCTAGCCCACGGAAGGGAGTTTGATCCTAAACCACACCAATACAATTCTTTTCTGCTTTCATGTTCTATTGGTATCCTGACCTTTGCTCTTATCACAAGATAGATTCACTTTACTTGCCTTGCTCAGCTGTAGTATCTGTATTAAAATAAGTTTTAACTCTAGAAGAAAATAACTTTTGCTACTTCAAGTTCTCCACAGACAGACACTTACAGATTGAGTGAAGTGCCAAAATTGTCCCCTGACTATTTGCATGGGGCTGTTTTAGTCCCAAAATTTATAGAAATATCAAAATAGTCTCTAGATTATTTAAATTGGAGAGAACTATTAGAGTTCAATTTTAAAATAATTGGAGCCTATTTTGATACTTCTATAAAGTCAACTCTGGGACTAAAACGGCCCTATGTAAATAGTCGACGACTATTTTGACACTTTACTCATTACAAATTGTTTGGTTTCCTCCAAACATGCTTTGGTTTTGGCTTGTACAGGGTGAGGTTGGAGCAAATGTGCTTGTGGGCCTTCAAGTCCCTTCTGAAGATATGGTTGAATTCAGTAACCAAGCGAATAAATTAGGATATGAGTATACATATGAGATGAACAATGAAGCCTATCGGCTTCTGATGCAGTGAATTGCATTAAAAGATTGAATCTCCAAGCATGCTCGGCAAAGATGTATACTAGAGGCAAATCCAACTTTATCCAAAAAGCTTCCTGTCAATTTCGTGTTGAAATCCTCGTGTTGTTGGTCAGTTGTATCAATTAATTCTTATGTAGCACTAGTATTTCCTTCTTATTTGTCCGTTAGCATGATCAGTTTAAAATGTTTAGGAGTCAAAAGCGGCACTATTTAGTTTATCTATGAGATATGGTGAACAACTTTGTAAAAGAATTTTTGCACTATCCTTTTTAGTTATACATTCTGCTTGGGCTTCTTTGCATTTCCTTTATGTTTCCATGATGATTTATAGTGTCAATCAAGGAAAACAATGATGAAACAGGATTTGAAGTTTTTTTTGTTTTAAGGAAAAGGTGAGCTCAAATAACAACATGTGTGATTCGAACTCGATGTCGTTGTGGAAAATTATATCCTCAGCCATCGTGTCATGAGTAAGTGCGCGAAGAAACTGGATTTGAGGTTTAGTTTAAGTCTGATTACTGTGAATGCAACGCCTAAAATAAATGTTTGTGTAGCTGCATATTTTGAAGGCTAAATTCGAGTCTGTGTGGTGCAACTGGATGCCTGGGAGTTGGCTTTTTGATTTGGTCACACACCTGCCATTGGGAGTGGGTACTTCATTTTACCAAATTTAAGTAGATGTAACACCATTTGCTAGTACTCAAAGACCATTGGAGAAGCCATCAGAGAACTTAATATTAAGAATTGAGTGAATTTTTGAAAAGTTTTATTACTTAGTTTTAGAAAGAGATGCCATATCATCAGAAAGACTTGGAGCTATTTGTTGCTCGAGCGGAACTTATGGTCAACATGATGACCATTATGTTGTGCTCGCCACTATATAAACGTTGAATTACTTGGACTTGTCAATATAATGTTAGCATTGAGGAATACAATTGTGAGACGAGTTCACCCACAACAAGATGAATGAAAGAGCACCACTTGGAGAATATAAATGAACTCCTTGCATTGAACATTCATATCTTTTGGATGATTTTGACAATTCATGGAGATGTAGCTGGGCCTTTTGTCAGTGTAGCATTAAACAATTTCGATTAGCACCTATTTCTAAAGTTTCACCATAACTTTCATAGAATTTGACCTACCTATACATGGTAATCCATGTAATGACTTTATAGTCATCACCATCTTATTGCAAATTCCCAAAATGACAATATTTGGATAACCATCAAACAATCAATTAATATATTTTTTCATAGTGTCTGTGAATAAGTGGACTTGGGAGCTTCTCTCTTGATGGTAACTTCTATGCCTTTATTTGATTTTCTCAATAAGTGATATGAAATAATAGGAGTAATTGCCTTACCAATTATGATGGAATGAAGGAGAAAAGAAATTCATTATTATGGTGGACTTCATGGTAGATGATGTGATAACTATATATATGATGTAATTTTTTGTTAACATTTATTTAATACTTTTAGTATTGTCATCTATACTTATCATATAGCTGTGAAGTTTTTGGCGTTAGATTAAACAGTGACAACGAGGGGTAACTTGTTGCAGTCATGTGCATGTTAATCAAAAGTTAAGTATTTTTGTAGCTTGATTTTCGAAGCCGGAGTATATTAAGAGCTATATAAAACGGATTTTAAAAAAGGTTCCAAATGTTGAAGTTGAACCATGTCCATCTTTTTGTTAAGTGCAACCTTTAATGCATAATGAATGAGGGTATGTTGATGTGTTCATCTGTTTGGCAATGAGATTACAAGCATTAATATCAATGTCGTTTATCATAAATTGAATCTAGATCCAAGGGGGAGACCAATAATGCAGAAGATTCAACCAGAATGATGCAACCAGACAACTATTCTTACTTAGCTTCTTTATTAAAGTTTAGGAACAGGTAAAAATTGAATTCATAAAGACATTACAATATCCAAAGTGGATTGCCAATGTCGAAATCGTGTAAAAGTCAAATAAAAATGACAAATTTGTATTGAATTATAAACTTAATTTGGCAAGCTTTAAAGATAGCTACATACTTCCTAACATTGATGCTCTAGATGACTACAATCAGTTGTCTAATCACGAGATTCATTTTTGTTTTTCCCAAGCACCATTAAGTTAAAATGCCCCATGTGGACTAAGAAAAATATATTATCACTCTAGTTGTATTGCTATAATGTCATGCTTTTAAGGCTTAAAAAATATTTATGCTATATAACAAAGGATTACGGGTGTAAACGAGCCGAACACAAGGGAGTGTTCGGCTCGTTTACACCCCGGCTCGTTTACACCCGTAATCCTTTGTTATATAGCATAAATATTTTTTAAGCCTTAAAAGCATGACATTATAGCAATACAACTAGAGTGATAATATATTTTTCTTAGTCCACATGGGGGTGTAAACGAGCTGAACACAAGTGAGACAGGGCTCAGCTCGTGTTCGGCGGTGTTATTTTTTGTTTTTTTTTCTCGTTTTCTTCGCAGCGACCCAAAAACCCCGAGCCGTTCACGAACAAAGAGTTATTTTGACAACTCTAGTCACATAGCTATTAGATGTTAAGGATTGGGGCAAGATTTAAAACATCATTTGAATCTAATTTAATAATTTTTATTATATTTTCTTCATTAATATTTTTAATTGATTATAAATCTTTGTAGCCTTGTAGTCAATTAAATTTTTAAAAAATGCTACTCATCAAATATATATATATATATATATAATTGATTAGTAGTATTTCGAGCCAAAATGAGCTAACACGAACGAACATATATTTGTTCATGTTGTTCTTGTTCAGCTCGTTAACCTAGCGAACGAGCCGAACACGAGCTGCTCGCGAACAACGAGCCTTTTTGACAGCCCTACAAAGGATCCATTTAAAAATTAAAAAGAAAAAACAAATTCAATTTGTGTTGTCGAATTGTTAATAGTATGATCTGTTCATAATGGAGGAATACATTCCATCGGATATAACTTTTTTCATTTATGATGTGATACAACATTAGGAATAATGTATATCTTTAAAAGATTAAGACACTACCATTTGCTAGATCTAGTCATGAAATGATGATTTCAATACTCCAGAATTTACGTTGCTAGAAGTTTGTCCTCTGTCATATAAAGATAGGATACAATTTATATTGATTTGGAGTTGGGAATCCCTAAAGGGGAAAGCCAACATTGTTAATTACATTCAAAGAAGGGTTACTTCTTTGGATAACTCTTGATTAAATAGTGGCTAACATTTCTTCAAAATAGAAAGATTAATATTTTAGATTGCTAATTGGCATTGGCCTTAAGTTGGAATAGTTTTTTGTTAAAAGTCAATGAAATGATAGGGGGCGTCAGATACTAAGAAGTTTAATAGTGCTCTAGTCTATTATATAGCTGGGCTTTAAAATTTAAAAGTTGAGATTAAATTGTGTTCAAATTATTCATTTTATTTTAGAATGTTATGTCTTATAAAACAACGAAACAAATCACAAAAAATCTTAAAAGAGGGCTTATCTTCTAACAAAAATCAATACGATTGTGTTAGAACCTAAACTATAGTGAGCTCTTTCAAAAAGGATAAGAAGCTGAAACCTAGTCTAAAAGATAGAATGTGAGACTTAACAAACTTCACTCCCACAAAGGAGTAAAATTTGGCCTGATTCTTCTTGTTTACAACCTTGCCTAGAGACGACTGAGTCAACTAACCACACATATGCTTAAAACCCATAAAGTTAAGTTGCATATAGAAGCGGAGCAAATAAGTTGTTATTAATAAGGAGAAATACATTGATACTTACAATTCAACCCTGAAGATCTAGCTCCAAGATAGAAATTTACTTAAATAATATAAAATTTTACATTTTAAAATTTAAATTATTTTTAATTTGATTTATTTCATTTGATTGAAGGTTGTAGGTGCACTGAATATGCTTGTATGCAAACACAAAAAGTCAAATTAAGGTAAATTAAATACAAATGATAGTCTTTCCAAATAAGCATGATTGTTCTCATTAATTTGATCCATCCTTTTTGTGTAATGAGTGAAGCACTTAAAATAAATAAATAACTAATATAATTCCAAATGTTTCAGTTAATCATATGTTTTAATTAATTATTTGTTGATTTCCTCTTAGTTTTTTTTTAAATTGTTTTTAAAAAAATTTAAGTTATCCTAAAAGATTAAAAAATAAAAATCAAGCTAATCCTAGACACACAATTACATAAATAAATTTGGGAAAGATGTGCAATTTTAGTTCATGATCAAAGTAAACAAACATAGGAAAGCACATGACACATAAATATATAATTAAAATAGGTCAGTGTGTTTGTGTTTTACCATACACCCTAGAAGCAAAGAAAAGCGGACAGCTGAGTTTTACTCATATACGTCCTAACAAATCCTAGAACTAAGAATCAACTTGTTGGTTCTTCTTGTTCATCATCTTCAATTTAGTTTTTCATTCATGGTTTGGATCCTCCATGCTTCACGAGGCATCACTAGCTGGGATTCATCCTCACCCATTTTATTCCCACAAGCTCTGACCTAGCTTTATGAATTACATTTAAAAAGAAATGCCTAACTTAACACCCAACAAAATAGAAGTCAACATAAAAGGTTCTCCAACAAACTAACATATGTCTAGATTTTTGGACTAATAAGCTCTCTAAAATGTGTGGATAGTGAGGCGAGATGAATTCAGTCCTTATGTTTGAGTTACAATTCATGTTTTGTGTTCTAGTATTACAGGTAGATGGTTTGAGTTTAGTTAATAAATGTTTTGTGAATGAGTTTATATTTCTTATTTAATTTTTTAGTTTGAGATTTGTTTTTAAGTTATAAAGAGTGATGCAAAGTTAGATCTGCTAGAGAGGATGTCCTGCTCTTCAAAGCTCACTAGTACTAATAAGGTGGGCACCTCACTTAAAAATTGTGACACACCGCCCTAAAAACTATGGTTACCTAATTAGATTCATTAATAAGTTTGATTGAGTTATGTTGATTCAGCTTGTTTAAGTTTTAATGGTTTAAATTTTGTTTAATTAGATTTGATTTAAATTTGAATTGATTAGTTTCAATTTGATTTTTGACTTTGATTGAGTTTGACTTGGTTTGACAAACCTATAAACCTACATATACCATTCTCATAAGCTAGCAAAGGACTTATGAGGAGTGTTATGAGTGGATTTTGAGGTTGGGATTTTTAGTTTTAAGATTTAAGTTTTATTTAAGATTGAATTGTCTTAAGGGGTTTTTAGTGTAATTTGATTGTTCATTTTAACCTAAGTTAATTATGTTTTGATTCAATTGTATCAATATAACTTTTTTGTTGTTTCATAAGAATTTAATAGTGGTATTAAGGAGTATGCCCAGAGCTTAAGGGTTATTTTATGATTTTAATTAAATTTTTAAGAGAAAATGCAAAACATCATTATATACAACTCAAATCTTAATGAAATTATTCTTTGAGATCAAGGGTCACTAGAGAATCATTTTAAGAAAATTTAAGGATTTTTTTTTGTTTATCTTAAATTTTCTTTAATTCAATAATTAATTTATTTAAATTAATTGATTTCAATTTAATTTAATTTTAAATTTTGAAAAGTTACAAAAATATTTGAAAGAAGCCCCAACGCGCCTATAAAAATTTCACATTAATTTAATTTTATTCAAGTTATAATTTCATCATCATTTAATTTTATTATTAAATTTTAAATTCAAAAATATTTTAATTGCTAAAACATTTTTATTTTAATTTTATAACTTTTTTATAGTTCAAAGGTTAAATGGTTCTAGTTTCAAACTTCTTATTCCTTAGATAATTTCACATGGATTTCAGAGCTTTAGATATTGTTATGTTCATATTTAAATATTGATTTTCGATATTTAAATTATCATTAGAAATAATTAGTGAGTTTTTATATATAAAGTAATCTCAAGTAATATTTAAACATAAAATAAATGAATGTTACTTTTAAAATCCAATGATTAGGTTGAAAATAACCAAAAAAGCCATTTGTATATATATATATATATATTTACAAGAGTTTATTATAAAATTTCTCAAACATAACTTTGGTTAACATTAACTAAATAGTAACAATATTAGAGCCACCAAGTATCAATAAGATGTGGCTTCATATATACATATAAGTTAATTCTAAATTTTAGCAAAATATGGGCTACAAATACAAAGCGAAGACTGATCTTCTTCAACCGCCGATCGATCGATCACACTCATTGTTTTCTCTTCGAAGCAATTCAATGATTGCAAACTTGGGACTTCTACCTACGATAACGATATCGTTTGAAATTGAAGTAAACGTGAAGGATTCCTCGCTCGAATGTGCACTTGAAGCCCTTCTTATGAGAATACTCCCATTCCTTGTTTACTATTCGAAAGGCCTGCGAGTAAGAATACGAGCAATACTTCAAGAATAGGATATAAATAAATTTAAGGGAAATTTACATGTGGAGCATAGAATTCTCATGTATTAACATCTCACACCTAAATATTCATATTCATTAAACCTACGAGTGAAAAAAAGTAGCAAGTGTGCTATTTTTTATGTGATATTAAAGACGTAAATATGATGAAAGTTTAGGTATGAGACATGTAAATACGTAAGAATTGTGTGTAATGTATGTAAATGCGCCATAAATAAATACTGACAATGTCTTCATAAGGTGGTCCTGCATGAAATCTTATTATGCATGTCTCGTTGCTGATGCCATCCTTTTCGATCGTATACACCGGAGCTTTTGATTTGTCGACAAGATCAGGATAAAATATGTTGAACTTATAACCCTGCACTATTTTCGGGGGAGGGTTGTCATGATCGTAATGTGTTTGATTATACTTGTTCCATTCATATCCTGTGTGAACCCGATTGAAGTATTTTGGCTTTCTGGGCCTATATTTGTCATGCCACCAGTACACCTGCATGCACTGTGTCAAGTTAGCATATTATTGCAAATTATGGCACCGAATCAAAATTTTTACAGCTACAATGGAGTAAGAATCAACAGTAATATTGAAAGGAAGAAAGAACAGAACTGCTAAACTAACAGTGATGGAAACAATTGTTGACATTTTTTTTTTATATAAAAATGTTTTTTTTAACATATGACCAAATTCTGATCTATGGCACCAGTTGTGAGAAGTTGTGCAGATACAAGAACATATTCATTAGGAAATTAATTGAGGTGTGATTTCTATTTATTTATGATATGTACAGGATTGTCCTTTTAAGTTAATGGTGCGGCGTCCGAACAATTACGATGTTTCCTTTCAACTGGAAGAAGAATGTTATGACTTGTAAATGCTATCAGACTTGAAAGACAGAATAGGGTTACAGAGATTGTGATATTAATTACTAACAAAGATAATTATTTTTTTAAATACATTCTGTTAATGATTGTAGAAAGTTTGTTAGAATATATGCTATTCTAATAAATCTTTCAAGCAAAATACAGTTCATTTTATTCTGCTAAATATACATGTTTCTTTACTATTAAAAAAAGAGCTGATGAGAGAGAGAGAGAGAAAGAGGGAGGGAGCTATGACGTGGTCTTTTTATTAAATTCAGCAAAAATTTCTTGATCATCAAACAAAAATGTGCTTGCCAGAAGCAATGGACTGAGCTTCTCTCCAGAATTAAAGCATCCACCATAAGCACACATTATTATATGCAATCAAATATTAATGTTATAATATAGATAACACAAGCTTTTAGAAGTTATAAATGAATGAATAGCTAAAATTTTTTTAGAAAAAGGAAAAAAAAAAACATTTGCAAACATTAATTATAAATAACCCACTTTAAAAAAAAGGCTAATTAAGCACAACAATGATGTCAAAAAAAAAAGTATAAACAGACCCATGCTGCCATATCTATCAAAAAAATATTCAATCTCATAAAAGCATATAAGTTAATTGTCATTTTCTTCAGTAGAACATGTGATAACATTAACAAACGGATATCAAAGCACGACTTTCTGATCTACTTGTACAAAGAAAATTGGCAATGTTTGCGACAAGTAAAGAGTATGTAGATTTTCCTAGAAGAAGAAAATATTCAAGAAAAATATTCAAGATAACAATTGATATAACATTGTCAAATATTTCAATATCAGTTTTTATTCAAGTGCAAGTAATAGACACTTGGGCAACTAGTTCGATGGATATGTCGCACATAATATTTCAAACGCTATAAACATTATTCAGACTTTCTTTCCTAATCAACATATGCAAGAGTAAATGATACTTTTGTCGCTATGTACAAAATAGGATTAAACTATCAATTAAGGATCTGCAAAATAAATCATTGCTTAAGATTAGTGTTCTTATCTGCATTTAGAAAAAAAAATTGGTTACAAAAAATACATCAAATTGTCATGAGTGATGGATGCAGGTTACTATATAATGTCGCTGGACATTTTATCTACTGCACTATTTCTCTAAGGTTGAGGAGCTATAACCACCATGTTATTTACAGTACTATCATAAGGGTTCAAGTCAGTTAAGCCACAAGAAATAAGTTAAAAAAAAATACTAAAAAATAAAGATGAAATAGTCAAAAAAAAAAAATAATAATAAAGAACTCGCCTGTGAATCCAGATTAACTTCAGCACCAGCACCAAAAACAGTATCACCCTCCTCCATTGCTCCCATTGCTTTAACTGCTTTCAGTTCCAAGTCATCAAGCACGATCACTTTTGTTTGCATTGCTTCCTTGACCCTTCTTTGTTGCTCTGTTAGTACAGCTTCACGTTTTCGACACTGGAAATGCATACAGTCAAGTATTTAATAAGAATTATAATACATGTACCCTAAGTTCTGTATTCTTAACTTAAGTTGGTCCATGGAAGTTGATATTTTACTTAATACTTAATTGTAACATGAAATTTAAAGGCAGTGTTTTATTAAAAAATATTTGAAGATTTCTTTAGGATATAACACAACAAAGGAAATGAGATCAGGCAAACCAGCATTTCTTTAAAGATGCTAGTAAAGCAGGATAAGATAATGCTAAGATGAACATGCAATAAAAGAATAAAATATGAAATAACAAAGTATTATACCCAAATAAGTATATTATCATCAAAAGATGTGACATTAGCCCACTACTTGCTCACACATTAAACTCTTACGACGTATAGCATGCACAAACATATGTACTAGCTTTGTTGGTGTGAGAACTATTGCTTAAGCAGAAGATTATAATAGAATCTACTGATTAAAAAAATAAAAGATATATAGAGTTGAACAAATTAGTATAGCTAGAAAATAATTAAAATACCAAACTACACCTACCGTGGCTATAACTAGGAGTGATGGAATTGGCAAACCCAATATATCATATTCATAGGTTACTAAACGATGTTCAGGTTTCTACTCTCAACTAATTGAGGAGACACTGTTTAAGGATTGCAGTTCAAAAGGCAAGGAGTCTTTCTATTATATGTTCATAGTCCTTTCCATTTCACCCAACAAACATAGACCTCTTTAACGACTATCAAAATTGATCTCTTCCAAGCTCTCAATGTCAACTAAATAATTTGACTACAAAGGGTGAATTGCACAAAAATCACATGAGAGAAGGTGAATGTGTAGAGGAAACAGAAATAGATTAAATGGGTTACTCATTTACAATAAAAGCATATAAATGCATCGGTAAATAAAAGAAGTTTAACATGACAGTTGAAAAAGAATGATTGGATTTAATAAAGTTATCCTGGTTTGAATATCTTTCAAAAAGAAATACCTAACTAAGAAAAACACCCATATGGTTATCAATTAAATTGAATCACAAATGGCTGGCATTGTCAAATCAAAATTAGTACGAGCCACCAGGTTCATAATTTCCTCAGTCGAGTTTTCTATTCTTGCCAAGCTTATCACACAGTTTAACTAAATAACATTTTGGAGGGAATGGATTGACTCTGTTAAAAATAGTTATGATAAGCTGCTCCTCCTGAAGACTATAATAATGTATACAGTAACTGAATGTAGTTCTTTCATGCATGAAAAGAAAATTAAGATTCATTACCAGTTCAGCCTGGTCTTCTTCAGGATCAATAGCTTCCTCATTCTCAACTACATGTAGGAGCTTAGGGGAAAATGAGCCTAGTTCTTCCTCTGGCTCATTATCTGACTCATCTTTTTCAATATCATCAAAAAACTGTTGATGCTCTGTTAAAAAAAAACACGCTTATCAGCCATATGCATAAACTGAATGAAAAAATGAAGTCCTAAACAGAAAACAAAGCCATACCATTTGCAACTTCTACATCATCTACCACAGTAGGCTTTATAGTTTCTGTTTTTTCAAAAACCTGCCCATCCTCCAGAGGATGCTCTAGATGAAGGAGATGCTTCCGCAAAAGACTGGCATGAATTTCCCTCAAACAAGCCTGCGTTTAATTATAAATAGACATAAAAATACTAAATATTTAATAAAAACTCTACAAAAAACTTTACATGAATCATTATCTCATTTTCCCCAACACCGGCTACTTATTTGTGGTTGTAAAAGAAAGATCATAAACCACAATAGACCTTCAAACAAGCAAAATGAACTGAAAGGATGGCCCACTAGTATTTCAATATACAAATAATCTAATATTTGAAAGGTTTGAATACACATTACATAATGGTCCCAAATTTCAAAAATATGCAGCTAAAACCTTAGATATTTATTATAATGGACAACTAGTTGCTTCCCATGAACCATCTTCAAACCATCAAAATCAAGTAATATGGTTTAACAGAAATTTTAGAGTAGGAACTCACTTAGTAACTTATCAATAGAATATGAAAAGGACAAGTAAATCATTACTATGATAAAATTTAACAGGTCAATAATTGCAAGCAAGCATGTCTGCAAGGAGAAAGGTAAAATTGACTAAAACTAAATCAAGAACTTTCACCTTATGAATATAATAAGTATGTTCCTAATCAAAAATCAAGTTAAGCTAAATAGAGAGATGGAATATTTTAGTCACGTAAATTTACAAGTTAAACACAAAAAGTGATAGGCGATAAGTAATGAATGAGCACATCCACTAAGGATATCACAGAAAGCAAATTTTACCTTGGCTTTGTAGATTTGAAGACGTTTTAAAACAGCTTCCCAGTATTCAACAACCTTAGCAGTACCAGACCGCATTTGTAACTCAATGTTTTCTTGCATTTTTTCCAAATCTACAAAAGATTTTCCTTCTAAAAGTCTCTTTACATCTGATTCTATACTTGAATGTAAACCCCTTTCTTCAGCTAGAATCTCAGCAGGTGGTTCCTCACCACGCACCCTAGCACGATCCAATGCATCCCTTTTGCGAGCTTCAGCTAGCTCCCAACTACATACTACCATTAAGGCCTACATGGAATAAGTTTTGTAAAATACACTGAATTATGACATAAATTAAATACTCAACAAAGCATGTTCGACAATCGAAAGTAAGATAAAACTACTAACAAGTTCTACTTTGCAATTTAGTAAACATATAAAAAACATTTGATTATATATGTTTGGGGACAGAAATAGAATGCTTATTACATTAGTCACCAATCCTGAAAATAATCATGCTATTATGTAATGGGATAAACGAACCTTTACATATACAAAACTAGGTTTGTGCAGCTGCAAGTAAAGGGGTACTAGGAGCCCTTTCTCTTTTAACTTGTCTCAACAATTGGCTAAACAGCTCAAAGATAGAAACTAAATAAAGCATGCTTTAATAAGAGTTTGGCAAATGATTCTAGGAGACACAAAGGCATTTCAAATTTCAGACAACAAAAGAGTAACTTCACAAGTTCATTTGTGAAAAATATTGTTGTTGTATCCATAAAAATGGGCAAAAATAAATCCTAAAAATGCATGTTGATAACAAACAAATAAATGTTCAAACATAGCAAAACTAAAACAGTTCGATTAAACTTACCATTGAACCCATGAAATTAATATTAACATGATAACAAATATGTTTTTTAAATAACAAAAATTTACCCTAATGCAATTACAGATAATTAAGGAACCAGGCTAGCTATAGACAGTGAGGTTAAGTGAATATTTAATTAAAGAATGGCACAGGCCAGACTTGAATCTATGACTTCTAGCTTGGGAACCCAGGAGAATTCCGTTTCAACTAAAACATCTTTGGTATGATCAAAAAAATATTTATCATTAAAATTAGAGTGATTTATAGCACACTGAGAGAAGGTTGAAACTATTGGTAATAGTTATCGCCACCAAATTTCATATCCATAAAGTGGAAAATTGCATTATGCTATTATAACTTATTTATTTCAAGGTTTATATTTTTATAAAAGTAGAAAAATCTTATAATTTAGGATTAATCATCTAGAAATGCAAATAGCATTGAAAAACTGTAAGCATAATATGCATGCAAGCTGTGTGGATTGCAAGTTTACCAAAATAAACTAGTTTTCCTCGCAACTTTTCTTTTCCTAAAAATCATGGGGGAAAAAACAGATGGATGAACCGTTGGTTTAAATCTTAAGCATAATTAATTACTTACAGTTATGGAAGTCTTAGTTTAAAGCGCGCACACACACACACATATATATATATGTATATATATATATATATGTATATATATATGTATGTATCTGTGTGGTCTGTGTGTATCTCCGATTCAACATTGGCCTCACATAAAAAAAAAACAAATGATTAAAAATATAAGGATGATAACTATTTTACTATTTTCATTACAATTCGAAGGATTCAGTCAGCCGGTTAACAAAAACATTAGAAGACGAGCAACAGAGTTATCATTAGTGGAGAGACTGGAAACTAGAAATTAGATTGACAAAAGAAACGAAAAAAAAGAAAATTTACATACAAACCATGCCATTCTTATGTATTTATCTATCTAATACCTAAAGCTCGATATTTATAATTATAACACTTCGGGGTAATAAACTTATTCATTAAAAGCTGTATTTCACTTTTAAAAAGTTTAAAATAATATTTTTTAAGTGATATTAAAGTAATTAGTGCCATACATGTAAATATGAAAGTTTAGGTGTTGAATGTGTAAGGATAAAAATATGTGGTATGTATGTAAATGCCCCCCTAAAAAAATTTACCTCCCAAAATTTGATTCGAATTTCTGTAGATCTATCCATGTCCTGATACATTTTGATGTCATCCCAAAGCTCTTCAATTTCTTTAACTGTTAGGCCCTATATGTCAGAAAAAAACAAAAGAAAAGCACACATTTAGTAAAAAACATAGCTTTAATCTTATATGCTTTGACCAAAAAAAATAATAATAATAATACTTCACTCCATGATTGACTACTTAAAACACAACACACATTGACAACACAAAATACAGTTTTTTTTCGCTCTGCTAATTTGATTGTGAATAAGATGTGATTCTTGGGGTGAAACATTGTATATGGGATTTTTATAAGCTATAAGCAATGTGTAAGCCTGCACACTTCAGTGTGCATATGCATGCTTATGTCAAAGACATTATCCTCGATTCCTTTTACAAACTAACCTAACCATCATGATTAGTAGCTACAGTTTTCAGCAACAATGGTCAGACTTGCAATCCTGAAAAACTAGCCCTTCAATGTCCAATGTCTTGCAAGATCTCGCAGATGCATGCCACAAACATGCAGATGCTCATGATACTACACACTCAATGTCATGCCAAACCAATCTAGCAACTGCTCATTGCCATAATAAGAAAACCCACAGCAAAGTCGTTGATGAAAAGCATTAAAAAACTCGAGAGAAAAGAAAGAGATGTGAGGGGGTTCGCAACAAAGAAATAAAAAGTTGTAGTTAAAGAAATTGGAAGGGAAGAAAACCTACCTTAAATACCATGTAAGGCTCATTTATTTCAATGTCAAAATCATCTGAACAATCAAGATTCTTGGCAAGTATATCAATTGGCTTCACACGCCCCTCTTGCAGTCTAATCATTGATCTAAATTTACTTTGATCAAAATGGAACTGCCAAAAAGAAAATGGGTTAAATGTTAATCATGAAGTCAAAAATATACAGAATTTACATGAAAAAGAGAGATAAAAAGGCAAAAAGAGACACTTTGTTAACAGGTGTGCTTGCATGTCCAAGTAACTTGCATGAAAGTGCACGTGGGAGACAAGGAGAGTAGGTATAGAAAAGAAAAGAGAAGGAAGAGCATAATGCAATTTATACCTCTTCTTCTTTCTTTTCCCAATCTTGAAATTCAGCCTTAGCACGCTCCCTTGCTAGCATAGCCTATTAGAACACAAAAAGTTAGACATAACATGCCACGAGAAGTTAATGTTGGAATTCTCTAGATCAAGAAAAGAAATCCAAAAGTATAAATGTTCAAATCCTATACCAACCATTTCCTCCTCATGTTGTGCTTTCTCAACTGCTCTTTCCTCTCTCCTTTTCTTAACCTTTTCAATCTCAGCCTATATTGGAGATAAAATTACATTGTTAAAAAAATAAAAGAAGCTGCCAAAGTACAAAAGAAAAAAATGCATAGTATGCTCTTTGATAGTTGACATCTTTTTTACAAAAAAAAAAAAAAGTAAAAACCCTGAGACTTTGAAAACCTTCTATGGTAGAGCAATTCTATAAAAAAGCATATGGAATCATTAAGTGCTATAAAAACTATAGAAAGAAACATATCTATGTTGCAGTCCAGTACATAGTTTTCAACAACAAAGGAGGGCATCAAATAAATATTTTAGCCATGAGACACAGCACAAGAACTATATTTGAAAAATTGACAATTAATAGAAGGCAACATTTGAAGTACTTCTACAGAAGGAAAGCTTCATTGTTTCAATGTAGGAAAAAGCTAGTGCTAATGATGTCAACACTTTAAGAACTATGCTTTCAAGGTGAACAGTAAACTGTTCATTATGATCTTCTTTTGATTTCCATCAAAACTCCCAATCCAAAAAGCCAAAACACAGGTGTTTCCACATACTGAAAGAAATGGTAATTGCTTTTTTCTATATTCTAGCTACCAAGATTTCTCATTTTGTATTAGTTGACTTTTCTCGATGCATTTCATTTATATATGATCGAATCTGCTCAAACCATATTTAAAAACACATCTCATCCAAAACTATTGACTTAATAAAGCATGCCAAGATTTAAATATAACATACAATTGCTAATACTTCACATATAAATCCTTTATAATCAGATTCCAAATCAATCACTAGTGCTCCAATAAAAGAACCTTGTCGGTAGTCTTGAAGAAAAGAAGTCCACTGTCTTTTTTATAGACAATGCACAATATAATATGAATCTAGCTCCCCTTGAATCACTAAAAAATAAAAAAACTTATCATTGCTATGGCTAAACAAATTTTAGCACAGCACAAACCTGGTATTTACTTCAAACTTGGCCAAATTCAACTATATTGAGTACAATCTGATTACATGGAGAGAGAAATTCCTTTGATCAAAATTCAGAATATAAATTTCACCTTTCATCAATAGGTTTAGCCAAAGCATATATATCAAAACTCAAAAAACCAGCACTCACTGAGACCTGATCAATTCTTTCTATTGCTGTTACAGATTCCCTGGAACTTCATTCAACACAAGCTCATCACTTCAATAAACCCTAAATACCACTCATAAATGAGAACCAACCTTCTCTTTCAACTACCTTCACACTTCAACCCAAGCTCCCAAATATCCTTCCCACTCTCTGACCTAAAAAGTGAAGAGGGAGAATAGAGATTAGAAAAAGATGAAAAAAATTGATGTACTAGAGTGAGAATATTTGCAAGCCAAAATTAATCCACTCACCCATCAACCTCAGCAAGTTGCTAAGTGCCATCCAGCCCTTTTTATGGAAGAGCCCTCAAATACAAAAGAAATTCTATAAATAAGGGCAGCATGAACATGAACATAAACAAAATTGGTTTCATTGCTAGACATGCATTTTTAAATTGGTTGGATAGATATGGGGTTTATCTTCAACAGCATCATCTCCGCCAAAATTTGTAGTCCGGATCTGGAAAGTTTGTTGCAAGGAACTCCTTGAGCATATTAGAAGCCAGTCGACTCATTTCATTGTTAGAGATCCATGAATCGTCCATACAAGGAAAAAGAGCCAAGTCTCAAACAAGTAACTTGTGTTGTCCATGAGATGTAAGTCCCGTAAAAATGATCACATCTCTAGTGATTCACTCAGCAGAGCCAAAAAGAAGAGCATTTTATGGAAACAGTACAGAGTAGCAGAAAAAGATTACTAACCGGAAAAAGTGCCACCTACATTACCCGGAATTGCTTAGAAACAACTGATATTCATAGTTGGCAAATCGAGAAGTTATTCATTTTCAATTGGCGTTAACAATTCAAAATTTTCAAAAGCAAGTGCCAGTAGCATTTTAAAAGAATGGACACAAAAAAAATCATATAAATGAAAAGATATAGCAACCAATGACGAAGTCCTAAACACCCAAAAAAAAGTACTTTTAGAAAAATCCTTGAATTGTTCAGTGTATATGAAGCCCTTTTGATGTCAAAGGAGCCTCAAAAAATTTTTAATCCATACTTCTAAAGATCCAGTAGATATGAGACATGCTTAATTGAGCGGTGTATGATCAAAATTCTATAAGCTCAAAACCTTTCAGCCATCACATTCACTGAAGAAAATCTCATTCCCAGGATATTCGAGCATAATTGCTCTTCATATGTTACATCAGAGAGCAATAATGTCCTGATAAGTAAAATTTTCATTAACATAAATTCTTTAATAAATCTCTTAAGCTTGCAAGCATTAATGTGAATGTCCCTTGATATCTAGCAACTTCGACAAAATAAATTGATGGTACGTGACCTTAATGAAAAAGAAAGGTTATGTGATTTTTTGCCCTATATCTTAGATTCAAAAAGCTCCATACACAAGCCAAGTTTCACGTGGTTAAAGCATGTAGTTCATTTTGGACTCTGATGATGGACCGACAAAAGTGGTCTGATGTTGGACCCATGGCAGCAATCCAACAACGATGATCAAATTACAACAATTTGATGGAAATGCACAGGTAGCAATGGTCTGATGGCATTAAACCAGTGCCAATGTTTCAAGAAAGGTGAACTAGTGAAGGTGGTTCCATAAGGATATTCAAACGGCAATGTTTTGACGGTGGTGGACAAGCAGCAACAACCTAGTAACGATTGTCAAGTGATGGTGACCTGACAATGATGGAGAGACAAGGATGGTCCAAAGATTGGACGAAAATGATTTGATGATGATGGATGAGAGGTGACGATATGATGGTAGTGGTTAAATAGCGATCAAGGATACTCCAAATCCGTAAGCTCTCTCCCATCTTCAATCCAGTCTCCAGCCCACTGCAATTTTAGTTTTCATGAAAAGAGTCTGTTAATTTTACAGATTTTAAAAGTGTTATCCCCCTAAATATAAATAGAATCTAAAACTCCATCGAATGACTACAAATGATTCTTTTGGTCGCAAGGTATTTTAAGTATATAAGTATATTAATGATGTTAGAATTTAGTGATCTTGGATTCATTAGATTTATCTCGTCGAGATGCTTAATTTAATTTTAAGTTCGTAAATTTTGAAAAGCATCTAGTCCTCCAACTAATGCCTTGAATTTTCAATTATGCTTCTGATGTTTGATTCGGGTTCATTCGAACTTGGATTAGACCATGTTTGGCTCATTTCGTCGATACATTCAATTTGATTATAAGTTTGTAATAAGAGTTTAGATGGTCCTCAATTTGATTCCCAAAAAACCCAATGCCCAAATGCATTGAAATTCATGCAAATCAACTTGATTTTGGTGACACATCAAGTCCAAATTGCTTATCAATTTGGCGGCACATCAAGTCCAAATTGATTATCCATGCTACAAATGTTCTTGATAAGAAATGTCAAGCTACATTGGTACTTTTTGGCTAATGAAATTATAGTTTCCATTATTTTGGCTCCAGTAAATTACCTCTTCATAAAATTTTCTATCAAAAAATACCCCTGCTCCATTTTCACTATTTCTCTGCCTTAGCCAACATCGTGGCACACAACTAATAACATCACGAAAAATTTTACATGTGGTGAGCTCCATCCCTCTTTTGACAAGATTAACACAAGCAACTCAACTCTCTTAGAAGAATACTTTCAAACTTTTTTGCTTCAAGCTCCTATCATAACACAAAGAAAATATAGTTTTCTTCAATCTCTTCCTATGATTTTCTTAAAATATGTATAACTATTAGAGTTAAGCAGCAATGCTTTAGCATGCAGCAATACACTAACCTACTCTCTCACTAAGATAGTTATTCAAAACTAACAACCATATTGCATAAGCAATACTATTTGAAACTCAAAACTTTCCAGTGCCCAAATAATCATGCTATATAATGAATCTCAATGAAAGTACAATTCTTATATTGTGCATCCATAACAAATTTATGGAATCTAAATCATATTATGTACAAAGTATTAGATAATTGCCACTCTTCCAAAATACACATACTGCTGTCATTTAGTGTAATGATCCTCTCATTCAATATTGTATATCAACAAACGCAATATTATTTAGTACATACAAAATAAGTAAAGGTAACCATGATATAGGATTTTCATATCCTTAAAACTAATGTAAAAATACGGGTGCTTAATCAATCATAAGCTGCAGAAAAATTGCATACCATTCTTTCCCTTTGTCTTTTCTTCTCAGATGCAATAGATATGTCCACAATTAGGCCTTGAGAGACATCGCGTTCTATCTTCTTACGCCATACAAACCTATTTGCAGATAAGAAAAGGAGCAACAATAAGAAACAAAAAATATTAAAAAGGAAAAAGTAAATTAAACTAAGCTTAGAAAAAATAACGAAGAATTTAATATCTTAGTGTAGCCTATATTCAAATATTTAAACACAACCTATGACATAATGCAACCAACCAATCATGCCAGCAGAACCACTGAGAATCAGAGAACACCCAAGTCATATGGTAATCCAAACATTTAAATAGTATGTCAACATGGAAACCTCATAAATATGTGCATCGTATCATTGCACCACACCAACACAAGCATGGCAAAACATTCAAAAAAGATTCAGCAAACCATTAATGGCAGCTTTTATTAAAAACTAGCACAGTTTGGACAGAACTTAAGCGTGTGTATTGCATAGAACTAGGGAGCATTTAATTGAGGCATTAATATACAATCCAAGAACCAATCAACCACGCATTTCACAAATAAGTTTAACTACCTAACAGGAATAAACAGCCTTCAAAAAAAATTTAATTTGGATTGAATAGAGAGTCGATTTAACATATTAATATAGAAATTTTAACCAAGGTAATATCAAAACATTCATTGCTGAGCAAAAAAATTAATAAAGATTGTTAAAGAATTGATTTCAAAGAAAATACAGTTATTGAATAGATGTTGTAGCTTTATATACTTTTCAGTAAGATTTGAGTCTCCAAAAGGATTTGAATCATTTGAGTAGCCGGAGACCACATGTGACTTAAGCTTCTTGGCCACTTTCAGCGCCTTCAAAAACAAATGAAATGTTACAGTTTGAAAAATACATAATGAAAAAAATTATAAACAAGAAATATAGCATAAGCATAACCAAAAAAAATGGATACCTTCTTCTGCGCTTTCTTGGCCATATACTCCATAATCTCTTCCTCCGATATTTTTCTTGATTTATGGCGCTTTTTGTGGCCATCATCTGATCCAAAATCATACCCACCGTCACTTTCAGATGAGTCCCCCCGACCATGTCTACTATGACTTCTTTTAGAGTTTCTGCGACTTGGCTGAGATGAATAATCCCTACGACTCACCGCATCTAATTTATGCCGATCCATGGAGCGCTCAGCCCAATGGTAATCAGATTCCGCCGGGGAATTACTACAGTAACGGATTTAGAGCAGAATTTAAGCTGGATTTAACCTAAATCTTGCCAGACGGTGTCTTGGACAAGATAAAGCCTCGGATTTGATAAATCCGGATTTCACAGATTCCCGCCTTAAACCCCCGATTCACCTGCTGTGAATGGAATGGGTGGATTTAGTAAATCTGGACGGATAAAGAAGACGAGAGGTTACCTTCATCAATGGTTTCGGGTAGGAGAGGAGCAATAGGAGGAAAGTGTGATCCCGTCGGCGGTTCGCTCAACAGGTGATGGTCTTTGACGGAGGGAGCGTGATGGTCTTGGACGGAGGGAGCGTGATCCTGTCGATCTCTCGCGACGAAGAGGGAGCGCTGCTCGGCCAGGGCTTGCGATCGAAGAGGAAGGGGGAGGGATCGGTCGGGTCGCGAACGAGAGGAAGGATGGGAGTCGCGTGTGTTCGATTTACGGATTCAGGGCTTTAGGGATTTAAAATAAGGATAAAATTCAAATTTCGTGTAATTTATTATTGCGTGGTGCATAAGCAAAATGGGTGTCCCTCTCAGGCAAAATCGATGTTTCAGACGCGCCGGTGCAGTCCGTTTTGTCATCCGGGATCGCTCGGACGATGTCGTCGACAATCGGGTCAAAAACGCGTCAAAATTCAAATTTCACAAAATTTCGACCCGCGATCGATCGTCTCAAAAAGTTTATTCGAGTCTTCGACAGGTAATGGTGCAAGCGATGTAAATTGTAGCAATCGGACGCGTCGACTCTCTGAATTGCGAAGTTTGTTCGCGCGAGAGTGCGAATTATGCAGAATGTCACCCTAAGGCTCAAAAGATCCTATAGGAATCCCTTTTGGGTTTCCTCATGTTGGTTTCACCCTTCTAAGTGCTAGAAGTCGATACCACACACGCGAAACTCCAAAATGGTACAGGAGTAGGTTTAATTTCTAGAACGAGGCGGATCTCATTTCTAAGGTTCTATGATAGTCGAAGGGAGGTCTCTATGGCTGATCCTAAACCCTAAGAGGAAGACTAGACCTCACAAAAAATGAGGTCAACAATAACATGAAAGCAAAAACCATTAGAGTTTTAGCATAATTAACAATTGTTGGAATCCCATAAGAAAGCAATGAAAAATAAAGAAAGGTTGGTAGCAAACCAATTGAGGACATAGTTGCAGTATAAACCAATCATAGGCTACTAGAATATAACTAAAGCAAAAATCATTGGCCAGTACAAAATTAAGTGGGATTATGGGAGAGTTTTTGCCTAGTGCTTAATTCAAATGTTCCCATTTTGACATATATCCTCTTACTTGAAAACTTATTTTGTGAAGGATGATAGAGCTACCCAAGATTTTATTGCCATGAAGTTTATCATATGCACCCTCCATATATTATGGATTAGTAACATTTAGAAAGAAAGTGAATGTTATGAGATGTGATCTTCTTAACATCATTAACTTTAATTTCTAAGAATTGACAAAAAAGGGAATAAGTAGAAAGTGTTTTTCATTAAGGAGGTTGAACTCAATAAATTGAAGAAAGGGAAGTTAGAATAAAGATGATTATTTGTTTAATATCTACTTGGACAAAACTAATATGTGAAAATCATAATAGCCATCATCCCTTACTCCAATATACGAGTAACCATTCAAAAATAGAGAATTAGCCACTGAGTCATGTAATGTTTATGTAAAACTCAATTGACTTAGGTGAATATTCATGAGATTTGAGTACATGGAGCCTTTGAAGTCAAAGGTTTGTTCCTTTATTTAAAGAAAAGTGTCTTCAAGGTGTAATGATGTTATATGATCATAAAATAATGGTAGATGAGATGGATCAAGTAGAATTATTCATAATGGTATTGACAGGAGCATTATTATGCTAAGAAAGGTAGAAGTAGATATTTTAGATTTGACTTATGTTAAGAAAGACAGAGGTAGACCTAGAAAGACTCGGGCAAATTGTATAAAAAATGATCTTAATTTCTTAAGATTAAATGAAAATATGACACTCAATAGGACACAAAAAAGAAAAAGGATTCATGTAGCTGACCCCACCTTGTGGGATAAAGGCTTGTTGTTGGTATTGACCAGAGTATTATTTTGGAGAGAGAGATGTAGGTGCAAAATAGTTAAACGACTCCAAAAGACTCTTACCCTGAACCTGTGCATCATTAAACAAAAAGGAATTAAACATTTTTAAGAGAGAGACTGATGAAAAGTTTGAGCTTATTAGCAAGAAGAATGATATTTTTCTCCAATAAAAGATGACCGGGGAAGGGGCAGAAATCTCAAGCTCATTTTTCCTTGTGCGAACGAGAGTTAATCCAAGAGATATGGCGACTCTTTCTAGAGTCAATGCTATCATCAGAGAGGAATTAGCAGTAGTCTTCTAGTTTTCTTAAGACGGAAATGGATGTAAAAAGCTCTTTAACCTAGTAAGCAATTAGGCCACTAACATAGAATTTGGTAGACTTGAAGTCTACTAGAGAAGGATAGGGTCTTCACCATCTAGCCATCAAGAATTTTCATCATTTTTTTTGCAAAAGCCCTCGATAATTAGATAGTATTGACGGAGAATATGATACGGGAACACCGAGGTATTTGTTGGCAGAAGATAATTTGTCAACCAATACGAGAATTAAGAGATAATATTTGTTGGTAGGGAAAATAATACCAAGTCTTGAATTAAAACATGATATTTCTCTAGAAATTTTTAGTACAAACAATGACTCATGACCCTATAATATCCCAAACCAAGAAGAAGAATTATGCATTGTAATGAACTGAGAGTTTTGCAATATTCTATTTTCAAGCAAGAAGAAGCTTATTAGCAAAGCAGCCATTGATAAACAAACTGCAGATTATGCTCCTGCAGACTCAGCCTCTGGAGCTCATGCTTAGAAAGGTTTATTTTCTGCTCTTCTACATTTTTATTCATGATGATTGTATTTTGTAATAACACATTTTAAATCTGTCCTATGAACATATAATATATTTCTTGAATCCCTTTGGATGATGTTCCCCAATCTTGTTGGCTTGATCAAACCTTGTTTGGATTATTTCGATGAATCCGATGTAACGTAATGATGTATTCATTGCACCGATAAATACCACCAAATCCTATTATTTACGTATCTAACAACGAAATTTTACTTTTTTACATTTATACCACTTAAATGTTTCAAATGATTCACATTTTCATGCATTGGAAAGGTGGCATATAAGTGAAAAATCTGTCTCTACTCTAGGTTGCGACCCATGGCGAAAGGGAGGGGGCTACGTTTGGACAACGGATGCGATGTGCTGGATGGTTTGGAGGAAAACAAAATGTCGTTGGCGTCCGTTGTCCAAACGTCCGGACTCCGGGTGCAATATTTGCATTTATAAAGTGGAGAATGTGAAAAACGAAATATGGATGTGCGTTCAAAGTAAAACGTGAGCTACACGAGATTTATGTTAGTGGGATTTAGTAAATCTCGAAGGATTAAATTCTAAAATTTGTTTGTTAATGGATTTAAATGAGATTTAGTAAATCTGAATTTAGTAAATTCTGAAGGGTTAAAGCATAAAATTTTATTTGGCTAGGAATTTAATAAATCCTATTAAGTTTTGTGAACTTGTTTTGTAATTTATGTTGGGTTTTAAAAATCTTTTGTGGTTGTTAGACTTTAACAACAAATTGCACTTTGGGCTATCAAAACGGTTCGTTGTTCGTGAACAACTCGTGTTCGACTCGTTAAGAAACTCGTATTCAGCTCGTTAATTTTTGCAGTCAATTAATTTTTTTTAAAAAACTACTCAGATATATATATATATATATATTTGATGAGAAGTATTTTTAAGAAAATTAATTTACTACTAGGTTACAAAGATTTATAATCAATTAAAAGTATTAATTAAGAAAATAGAATAAAAATTATTAAATTATATTCAAATGATAATTTAAATTTTGTCCCAATTTTTAACATTTTATGGCTACATGATTAGGGTTGTCAAAACGGCTCTTTGTTCGTGAATTGTTCCTGTTCGACTCGCTAAACAAACGATTCGAACACGAACACAATTTTTTAGCTCGACATATAAACAGGCCGAACACAAGGTTAGGCTCGTTTACACCTCTAATTGCACTTGATTTTAGTAAATATTGTAAATTTGGCTTTTTAAAATATTACAAAATAATCAAAATTTGCTAGCTTTTTAAATTCAAGGAATATTTTATTATAAATAATTATAATTAATATTTCATATTTACTAAACTAATTAGTTTTTTTAAAATCCTTAAATTAATTATTAAATAAAAGTTTAATATTTGTAAAAGAACAATTAATTAGTTATTAATTATATAATTATTAAAAGAATAAAAATTATTATTATTTACTAATAAATAATTAAATAATAATAATAGTAATCCTGATTGATTGAGGGATAATTTACATCCATCACGCTCCCTCCGTCCAAGACCATCGCTTGAGCGAACCGCGGCCCGAGGTCCCCTCCTCGTACGCCTGCCGCCCTGCGAAAAGCTTCTACCTACTCCCTCTGTCATGCTCTGGCTTTCCCCTCCCACGCCTCTGCGATTCTTGTCATCTTCTTCCACGCCGTGCCACGCGAGCTGCTCCTCTGCGACAAAGCTATGCCGCTGTGGTCATCTTCCCCCCGCGCGACTCTTGTCGTTTCCCTTGGCTTGGCTCACCGCCCAGGTAAGCGACGGGAAATGCATCTCCTCTTCCCTGGCTATATAAACCCACTTGGGGAAGAGTTTGGGGGCTGGCCGAAATTTTCAGAGGAAAGGGTGGAGGTGCTTCCAAAATTTCCTCTAAATCTCCTTGGTTCAATTTTCCTTACTATGTTCATCTCTTGTATGCTTGAGGCTTTTTGGAAGTGCTGTGGAGAAGATTTGTGGAAGTTTCGGGGCTAAAATTTCGGTGGAGCTTACTTCCTTTCTAGAACTTTCATTTTTGGGGTTTCTTGCTTTTCTCGTTTCTGATTTAGTGATTAGTTGAGGTAAGCTCCTTATAATTTTCCCCTTCTTCGGCAGTTTAGTTATGGCGAGCTTCATACCATGAGAATCCTTCTTCTTATTCTTTACATAACTATGAACTCCCCTGCAAAAATATGGATGAACTCGTGCATTTAATGCTAGATCTTTGGATGATTGCATGTATATCATTCATGGCTTGTTTCTTTTTTTTTAGGAACCATAACTTCTAAAAAAAAATGATACAGAAAGGGTAGATATGTGTGAATCGGAATTGGGATAAAGGATAGGCTAAACATATTATAATTTGGGGATTTGTATTTATGTTGCTTACACTTTTCTGTTATTCCTGTATGGGTGCTCGTTTTCATTTATGTAGAAAGCTCAGCCTCTTTTACATCAATGGGGTTGGAGGGGTCATATAGGTATATGAATAATGGGTTCTCTGCTTTTCAGTTGTTTTTTTTTTTTTTTTTTTT